GGGTGCTCCCACAGAAGCAGGGGCCCCTCTGGGGCCTCATTGTTATTTGTCGGGGAAGGTTTTTTTCTTTTAATGTTTATTTATTTATTTTGAGAGAGAGACAGAGAGACCGCGCGAGCAGGGAGGTGCAGAGAGAGAACAAATCCCAAGCAGGCTCCAAGCTGTCAGCCCCATGTGGGGCTCCATCTGACAAACCGTGAGATCATGACCTGAGCCAGAATCAAGAGTCGGACGCTTAGGGGCGTTTGGGTGGCTCAGTCGGTTAAGCGTCTGACTTTGGCTCAGGTCATGGCCTCAGGGTTCGTGGGTTCGGGCCCCACGTCGGGCTCTGTGCTGACAGCTCAGTCTGGAGCCTGCTTCGGATTCTGTGACTCCCTCTCTCTCTCTCTTCCCTTCCCCCTGCTCATGCTCTGTCTCTCTCAAAAAATAAATAAACATTAACAAAAAAACAAAACAAAACAAAACAAAACAAAACAAAAAAAAAAAATATATATATATATATATATATGTATGTATATATAGTGGGATGCTTAACCGACTGAGCCATGTTAGGGAAGATTTTAAAATATGGGATTTAATTACGGTCATTGAAGGCCCTGGGTAGCTGAAAGCTGACCGTGAGCCAGACCTCTGCTGGCTGCCTGGGGAGGCCCTTGTAGTCCCTGGGCCCCAGTCCTGCTGGGGTGGCCCACTGAGGGAGGGCTGCCAGGATTGGGCAGATGAGGCACTGAGGCTCAGAGGAGAATGGTTAGTCCCAGGCTGTGCGGCCCAGGAGGGAGGTCAGGGGAGGGGAAGGGGAGGGGCTTAGGGGGAGGACCGGGGTTCCTCTGTCCCCGGACCAGATCCTCTGCCCCAGTCCTTAGGTCCCCCTTGGTGGGTGTGTACAGCGCCCTCTTCCTCCTCCTGTCCCCTTCCAGGGGACCAGGGGGCTGGTGAGGACAAGGGTCAGGGCCTCGGGCCCCTTTTGGGGCGTCCTGGTTGGAGCAGGTGGGGCACCCTAGTGATGGACCTGGGGATTGGGTCACTCTGCCCCAGAGCTGCTTCAGAGCCCCTGTCCAGCACTCTGTCCTCTGTGGTCTGACTCCTCATTAGCCCAGGGGACACCATCCAACCTGGGAAGACAGCCCGGATAGAGCGACAGGACCAGGGATCGCTCCCCAGGGACCAGGGGCAGTGGACAGGGCTCCAGGCCTGCAGGAGGAAGGTTAGCCCTGGCCCTAAACAGGCGGGCAGTAGACAGAGGACAGGTCCTGAGGACACCAGGCCTGGATCTCGGTTCTTTGCCCCCACTCCCTGGCGGGGCCACCTCTCTGGTCTGTCAGTGGGGAAGTGTGATGCTTGCTCCTACCCTCATCCCAGGAACAAAGGGAGAGAATGTCTGTGAAGAGTCACCTGTGAAGCCACCTTGAACTCTGGCCATTTAGATTGTTTCTAGACTCCCCCTGGGGGTTTCTAACCACCCCCCATCCATGGTTTCTAGGTCCTCTGGCCTTCTCAGTTACTCTTTCCCGCTTGCTCTGTCCCAGGCGTGTGCCGGAAGTGGGGGAGGGGGCAGGGCAGGCCTCAGTTCAGAGAGGGTGAGGGGTGGGACTACAGTGGAAGCTCTGGGAGGGAGGGTGGCGGGCAGGGGCGGCAGGCAGGTGGGGCCCCTCATCCCGCGCCCCACACCTTGCCTAGATGCAGACAAAGGAAGGTCCTGAATTTTTAGCAGCCATTCGATTTTGCCCTTAATACCCACCCCCAGGGCACTCAGTCCTTTTAGCTCTCCAGGTCTTCAGGTCTTTGTCCCCATCCCCAGGCCCTCCCATCACAGCCCAGCCGGGGCCTCACGACCACCACCGAGAGGAGGCTCCCGCTGCAGGTGTGGGTGGGACAGGCTCCTGGAGGGCCCTCACAGGCTGCCACTCCCCGGCCCCTTTCTCCCCGATGGAGAGAAGAGTGGGGGTCCCAGGGGCTGTGGGACTGGCGCACGGCCGCACCCACCAGCAGCCCAGAGAACCGGGTGTCAGCCCGGGTCTGGCCGCTGCCACCGAGGTGTTAGACGTTGGGTGCCTTCCAGCCTTTGGCTCTCGAAGACTGAGCTACTGTGAACATCTTGGTACAAATTGCTTTTTAATTTTTCTCTCTTCCTCTTGGACAGTTTCCTTGGGATCACTTCCCCGAAGTGGAGGGCCTGGGCCAGCCGGCACACACGGGCTAACTGCTGCTCCCCGCAGCGCTGCCCAGAAAGGAGCTCCCAAAACACAGAGCTCACTGTGGCCAAGCCAGTCTGCAGCCTTCGGCTTTGCTTCAAGTTTTGTTTTTGTTTTTGTTTTTTTTTTTTTTTTTTTGAGTTTACTTATTTTGAGAGAACGAGCACATGTATTTCAGCCAGGCAGGGGCAGAGAGAGAGGAGAGAGAATCTTAAGCAGGCTCCTCGCTGAGCATGGGGCCCAAAGCGGGGCCCGGTCCCGGGACCCCAGGACCATAACCTGAGCCGAAATCAAGAGCTGGATGCTCAACCGACTGAGCCACCCAGGCACCCCTGGGTCTTACGGCTTTTTTTTATTTATTTGTGCTAATTTGGGCGAACGCTGCGGCCCATGGGCCCCTCCTCTGCCCCTCCAGCTGGCCAGCCAGCAGGAGGGCCCAGGGAGCCGCAGCCTTTAGGGGCCTCTGGGGCCTGTGCCGCCCACAGGTGACAGAGCTTTCTCTAAGTGGATGTGGGGACCCCCACTGTGACGGGGAGGGCACTGGGCCCACGGCAGAGCCCTGCACAAACCTGTCTGGGAGAGTGACAACCTGGAGAGAGCTCACAGGGCTGACGCGATCCAGGGGTGGGCGTCTCTCTCTGCAGTACTCAGTAAGAGCAATTTCAAATAAGCGACTTTGTTCAAAATTCGAGACTCTCCTTTACCTGGATCTAGACAGGATGTGTGGACCCAGACCCCAGATCTGGGGCACCCGCTCATCACGGAGACCCCCAACCCATAGCCTCAGAGTTCTTTTTTTCTTTTGTGTGACATAACATTTGGCATTTAGTCATTTAAAAGTATACAATTGAACGGCATTAAGTACATTCCCAATGTTGTGCAGCCATCACCACCATCCGTATCCAGAACTTTCTCATCTTCCCTAAAAATCCCCAACCCCCCGAGCCCCCCTTCCGTCCGTGGATGAGCCTGTTCTGGACGTTTCACACACGCGGACTCACAGCCCACGCGGTCTGTTGTGTCGGGTTCCCTCCCTGAGCGTCGCATGTTCAGAGTCTGTCCGCGGGGTGGGGGGGGGGGGCTCCTCGCTCCTGCTCGCGGCCGAGGGATGTGCGCGTGCGCGGGGAACACGGTCATCTGTGGACGTGCGCGTGCGCGGTGGACACGCTCATCCGTGGATGTGCGCCTGCGTGGTGGATGCACCTGAGGGGCGTGCGCGTGAGCGGTGGCCACGTTGTGTGAATCTGCTCCCCCACCGAAGTTTCCACCTTTGGCCTTTGTGAATCCTGTTCCTGCGAACACGCGTGCGCAGTTCTCCTTAGGTGCCTGTTTTCAGTTCATGGGGTTCACACCTAGGAGTGGAATTGATGGGTAAGACCATGATTCTATTTTTTTTTTTTTTAAGCTTATTTATTTATTTTGAGAGACAGAGCGAGAGCAGGGGCGGGGAACAGAGAGAGAGTCCCAGGCAGGCTCCTCGATGTTAGTGCAGAGCCCGACTAGAGGCTCGGTCTCATGAGCCGTAAGATCATGACCTGAGCCAAAAGCAAGAGTCAGACACTCAACCGACTGAGCCACCCAGGCGCCCCGCTACTGTCTGGACTTTTGAGGACCTAACACAACAGTTTTTCCTTGGAGTGGTTTTGATTTGCATTTTCTCGATCCCTACTGTGCTGGGCATCTGTCCACGTGGCCCTTCTGAACCTGTATGTCCTCATGCTTTGTTCAGAACACCAAGCCCAGCCACCAGCAGATGTCCCTTGAGTGGACAGGCCTTTCCCTGAACAGTGCTTCCCAGGTGGAGTGTGGAATCGGCCTCAGGGACTTGGGAGTGGAATCCGCCAGTCAGCACTTTTTCAGGAGAGTCTGTCACATGAAATGTCCTCTCTCAGCCTCTCCCAGCCTGGGGGGGCCTAGGCCTCTTTCCCCCTGCCTCCCGCCCCCCAGGGTGCTGCCCGAGATGGAAGTTGGGCCAGGAACCCCTTCTGGTGCCCCACTCGAAGCCCTGCTACTCAGGACAGTGTGCGCCCTGCATGCCCCGCCCCCATCCCGCACCCCAGACCCTGTTGTCCCCCACTGTGCTTGCCCCCCCCTTGCATGCCCACCGCCCCTTCCTCCAAAGCCCCCTACTCCCTGCCACCCCAGCTCCTCCTTGCTTCTGTCCCCTTTTCTTTCTCATACGGAAGAGTTTTTTGGACACTGACCCTGTGTCTTGCACATTGAACTTTTTTGGTCATGGGAAAGTTTTAACCAATTTGGGGGCCACCTTTTGGGCTCTGCCAGGTCTCCTGCTTTTTGTTTGTTTGTTTGTTTGTTTAATTAAAAAAATATTTATTTTTGAGAGAGAGAGACAGCACGCAAGCAAGGGAGGGGCAGAGAGAGAGGGAGACACAGAATCCCAAGCAGGCTCCAGGCTCTGAGCCGTCAGCACACAAACTGATGGGGGGCCTGAACTCACGAACTGGGAGATGGTGACCTAAGCCCAAGTGGGAAGCTCCACCAACTGAGCCACTCACGCGCCCCTCTCCAGTTTCTTTAAGGAGGGAAGGTCGTGGGCCGGCTAGAGGAACCCAGGCTGTGGGGGCCCAGCGGGCAGTGGGGGTCATCAGGGGGTGGGAGGGCTTCCTGGAGTTGGGGTACACACTGTGATTCGAGGCCCAAGTCTTAGCTTGGAGGAGGCGAGATCCGGGCTGGCCCTCGAAGGCGTGTGTGTGCTTGCGCGGCGCCGCGGTGGGGACAGCGTGCCCCGCAGCTGCGTGCCGCGTGGGCCAAGGCCTGGCGGTGTGACGGCCCACGCTTCACCCCCAGGTTCTACTGGGACTTCACCATGTTGCTCTTCATGGTGGGAAACCTCATCATCATACCTGTGGGCATCACCTTCTTCAAGGATGAGACCACCGCCCCGTGGATCGTGTTCAACGTGGTCTCGGACACGTTCTTCCTCATGGACCTGGTGCTGAACTTCCGCACGGGCATCGTGATCGAGGACAACACGGAGATCATCCTGGACCCCGAGAAGATCAAGAAGAAGTACCTGCGCACGTGGTTCGTGGTGGACTTCGTGTCTTCCATCCCCGTGGACTACATCTTCCTCATCGTGGAGAAGGGCATCGACTCCGAGGTCTACAAGACGGCGCGCGCGCTGCGCATCGTGCGCTTCACCAAGATCCTCAGCCTCCTGCGGCTGCTGCGTCTGTCGCGCCTCATCCGCTACATCCACCAGTGGGAGGAGGTGAGCGCCGGGCCCGCGGGCAGGTGCCGCGGGCAGGTGCGGGCAGGGGAGGCTCGGGGAGGGGCTGCGAGGGGCAGGGTCGTGGGGGCTGAAGGCGGGGCCCTCCATGCATTCGCGCCCCCCCCCCACTTCATTCTGCCCTGTAAAGGGGGGATCCCACCCCCCGCCCCCACTGGCGGCAGCGAAAACAGGCCCAGAGGAGCGAGGTCACGCCCCCTCTGTCCCGAGTGAGCCGCTTCTGGACTGTCCTCCAGCCCGCTGCCGCCGGCAATATCGCCCCCAGTTTCTGGGGCCGCGGCAAGGCTCCGGGGGGGGGGGGGGGCAGCGGGTGGGGACGGGGTGGGAGGGGACCTGGGCCACGCGCTCTCGTCAACCCGGAGGGCAACGGGCTGGGGGGTGGGGTTAGAGCTTGCGGTGAGGCGGGGACACCCGTCGCAGGTCTCAGGGGCTGGGGGTCCGGGCCCGGGGGCATCTTCCTCCCACTGCCCTGGTGGGTGAGAGGCGGCGGGCGGGGGACCCTCATGCCGCGCCCCGCCCGCAGATCTTCCACATGACCTATGACCTGGCGAGCGCGGTGATGCGCATCTGCAACCTCATCAGCATGATGCTGCTGCTGTGTCACTGGGACGGCTGCCTGCAGTTCCTGGTGCCCATGCTGCAGGACTTCCCGCGGAACTGCTGGGTCTCCATCAACGGCATGGTGGTGAGCGTCCGGCCCACCGTGGCGCGCAGTCCCCGGACCCCGCCCACCCCAGTGCCCCGCCTCGGGTGCACGCAGTGTCCCGAACACCCCCTCCCCAGTGACCGCCTGGGTGCTCTGGTGACTTTGAGACCTTCAGACCCCAACCGCTGAGAGGCGGCTTGTTGACCAGAGTGCCTAGGACAGCTTCTGGCACCACAGATAATGTCACCAACGTTTCCTCTGTGTCCACTGTTTACTTACATACACTATGCCGAAGAGGGCTTGTGGTACCCTAACCCTGAAGTAGGAAAGCAGTATCTTGGGCCGGAAGAGGTAAGAACCCACCGAGGGAGGGCGCAAGCACCCGTGTGGATTCCTGGCTGAGACGCTGACCATTAACAAGGGCGAGTCTCGGGGCCGGACGTGGGCCTAGATGGCAGGATGGGCGGGTGGGGCCCCTGAGGTCAAGGGACTCCCTGGGGTGGCGACCGCAGGCCCACCTGCCCCTCGTGGCTTTGCAGAACCACTCGTGGAGCGAGCTCTACTCCTTCGCGCTCTTCAAGGCCATGAGCCACATGCTGTGCATCGGGTACGGGCGGCAGGCCCCCGAGAGCATGACCGACATCTGGCTGACCATGCTGAGCATGATCGTGGGCGCCACGTGCTACGCCATGTTCATCGGCCACGCCACCGCCCTCATCCAGTCGCTGGACTCCTCTCGGCGCCAGTACCAGGAGAAGGTCTGAGGGCAGGCAGAGTCTGGAGGTCTGGGGGGCCCACCCTGCTGTCCCCCAGCTCCCTGTGTCGTGCCTAGGACAGGGGCCGGCAGGGAATGTGGGGGCTGAGGACCCTAGAGGGGTCCGTGGCTGCGATTAGGGGGAATTAGAAGGTCCCCAAGACAGTGAGGAAGCTCGGGGCCCTTTAGGAGGAGGGCAGTCCGGAGCCTGGGTGGGAGACATGGTGGGAAGGGTTGAGGGGGACACAAGCTGAGGATAGGGTGGGAGCTGCGGTGGCGGGGGGGGAGGTCCCAACGGAGCAAGGCCAGTCCATGGCGCATCAGGGAGCCCCTGGGGGCTGTTTAGGAGGCGGGGCTCATCCCAGGGGTCTCTGGGCCAGCGTGGGCGAGGCCAGAGCAGGGAAGCACAGAGAGGAGTCCAGGAATCCTGGGGTCGCTTGAGGACGTGCTGGGTGACTGAACCCACTGAGGAGGCTCCTGGGGGAGCAAAAGGATGTCTGGCCCCTCGGACCTGGCCTCTGGGCGGGGGCAGCCCCCCTCTGGGGGGGTGGCGCCAGGGCCCCCAGAGGGGGGCAGGAGGGGCCAAGGGGAGTGGGCAGAGGCCCCGTGTGCTGGCCCTTTCTCGAGTTCTGCCTCGAGCTCCACCCTGCCTCAGTGTCCCCCTTCAATGCCGAGGTGTGCTCGGCTCTCCGGGACACAGCCCCGTCCGTCCTGCACTGCTGCCTAGTGGCCGGTCCTGGCTGGGCAGCTGCGAGCGCCACCCCCCCCCCCCAGCCCCACAGCAGCGCCGGCTGGGTCGGCCGGGTCAGCTGGGCCCGGTGCCAGGCGCCCCGGCTGTCCGGAAGCCACGGGTCTCACACCCAAACATGAGCTGGTGCTGCCACCCGCCTGGCATCACGGGTTCCGCTGAGCTCAGGGCAGCTGTGTCCGGGTGGGGCCGGGGCGGAAACGGGGCTGGGGGCACCCTGGGAGCACCATCCTGGGGACAGCAGGGCCTGGCACCCGTCTAGTGCCCACAGCCCCTCCCTGCTCAGGAGGGGCTGAGCCGGTGGTTTCTGGAAAGCTCTCTGGGGAGGGGAGGCAGGGCCACTGACCGATTCGGGAGCCTCTGGGATGGGCTCCGGCATCCTGGGGGACCTGGGGAGTCTGGCCCAGCCCACTGTGAGGGCCTAGAGCCAAGCTGACCCCCCCCCACTTCTCGGGGGCGGGGGTTCCCAGATAAAATCCAGGACACAAAGAGTAACTTACCTTCGCATAAGCATGTGCCAAATATTGCACGGGTACCGCTAAGTACTTTTGCTGTTTATTTGAAATTCAGATTTAACTGGGCACCTCGCGTTGCCGTTGTTGAAGCTGGCAGGCGTGTCTGGGCTGCAGCAGGGGCCCCCGGAGGTGGCAGCCGCTGACCCGGGCCCCCCCTCCCCCCACTCACACAGTACAAGCAGGTGGAGCAGTACATGTCCTTCCACAAGCTGCCCGCCGACTTCCGCCAAAAGATCCACGACTACTACGAGCACCGCTACCAGGGCAAGATGTTTGACGAGGACAGCATCCTGGGAGAGCTCAACGGGCCTCTGCGGGAGGTGAGGCGGGGCCGCGGGGCTGTCCGTGCTGCCAGGCCCTCCTTCCTGGGGTTGAGCGGGGAGGGGGGGGGGGCTGGCCCGGCTGCAGCTAGACGTGTCCTCAGGCTCTGACCCTCAGCAGGTGCCCCTCTGTGAGTCTCCACGTGCTGCACCCCCACGATGCCCCTCGGCGCCCCAGACCCCGCTTCTGCACAAGTCCTGGGTCCCCCACAGCCACTGCCGGATTCCCCTTACCCCGTCTGGGGTCCGAGCTGGACAGAGGGGAGGCGGCCTGGAGCTGGCGAGCCCAGGGTGGGGGTCGAGCTTCGCTAAGCACAGGAGCCCTGCCGAGCACCAGCTTTGGGCGCCGGCTCTGCCGGGACAGCCCATGGGACCTCTGGCGAAGTTCCTGGGGCAGCTGTAATCAGTTCCCACCAGCCGGGCGGCTTCACACCCCAGAGATGTGTTCTTTCACATTCTGGAGCCTAGAAATCCGAGATCCAGGTGTGGCGGGGCCACGCCCCCTCCAGGGGCTCCGGGAGGGGGGGGGGGTCCTTCCTGCCTCTCCCAGCTCCTGGTGGGAGTCCTCCGTGTCCCTCGACTTGTGGACACCTCTCCCCGATCTCTGCCTCTGCCGTTACATGGCCTCCTTCCCTGTGTCCCCCCCCCCCTCTTTTTTTTTAATGTTTATTTTTGAGAGAGAGTGTGAGCAGGGGTGGGGCAGAGAGGGGGACAGAGGATCTGAGGCGGGCTCTGCGCTGACAGCAAGAGAGCCCATGTGGGGCTCGAACCCACAAACCATGAGATCAAGAGTCGCATGCTCTACCCACTGAGCCAGCCAGGCGCCCCACAACGCAGTAGCTCTTAGTGTATTTAGAATTGTGCGGCATTACCCCCGTCTAACCCACAGCACCCTTGAACCCCAGGACACCGCTGGCGGCTAGTCGTCACTCCCCATGCCACCCCCCAGCTCCTGGCAAGCCGTGTTTGATCACTGTTTGCTCACACGGTTCCAAAGTCACATTTACAGAAACACGTACGTCCAGACAATCTCTGGCTCCCGTCCTGACTTCCTCCTGCCACATCTCCCATTTCCTTCTTCGGTGCAAAACCCAGGCGTGGCCACCGCTCTCCGCTGCCTTCACTGGACCCTTCCGGCTGTGGGGGCCTCCAGGCACCGAGGCCCCAGGGTCCGCCCTCCTCTTGCCCCTGAGTTTCTGGCATGCACCTCTGGAGTTTTGCTCATGTATTTGGGACGGGGCTGAGGGGTGAGGGGAGGGTCCAGTCCCTCTGGGCAGCCAGCAGCGCTGTGAGGCACCCAGCCCCCAATGCACACGTGAGAGGGGCGTCTGGGCTCTTTATGTGATGAAAGGCCGTTTTGTGTTTCTCCTTCTGTGAACCGGCCACAGGTTGCGTTTGTATTTCTACAGAATTTTTTATCCTTTTGTCATCTTACAAATCCTTTATGTGTGGAGGACTTCATGTGATGCAAATCTGCACCCCAGTGGTGGCTTTTAACTTTGCTTATTGAGTGTGTGTGTGTCTGTGTGTGTGTTTTGCCATGCGGGATTTTCATGCTCTATGAGTGCTTGCTGTACACAGCAGGTGTTAAATGTGTGCCTGCTGCACAGAGTGGGTGTGCAGTGGTCAGTGTCTATCTTCTGTACACAGCAGGCGCTCTGTGTGCTTCCTCCACACACTAGGTACTCAGTACCTAATTGCTGCACAGAGTAGGTGTTGAATACCTACTCTCTGTATACAGTAGGTGCACAGTACATACGTGCCGACATCGTAGGCCCCAATACCTGGCTCCTGTCAACAGCAGGTGCACAGTACATGCTTGCTGTGCCACCCAGCTGTGGGGGTTCACCCACACTTCCTTATAGCACCCCTCAACTCGCTGCATCGTGCTTGGGCACGTTTCTGGCCTCCCGGTGTCTCCCGCCGGCCCGCCTGCTCTGTGTGCCAAGCCCACCCGGAGTCTGGAGGCTGCGCAGCGTGTTTCAGTGTGCTGGGGGGCCAGTTGCCCCTTCTGCTCTTCGGCACGAGCAGGCTTCCCTGCGATTTTTGCTCATTTGTTCTGAACGGCCTTGCGTAGCTTCAGTAATTAACAAGCAAACCTGATGGTGTTTTCTTTGGGAGCACGTTACGTGTGTGGATAAACAGGGAGAAAGGTCGTCTTTCGTCCCCGTGACGGTGACGAGCTCTGCCTAATGACCGTGTGTTCAGCCTCCCCCCGTGCCTTTCGGGGGGCTCTCCAAGCTGCCCTCATACAGGTCCGGACATTTCTTGACCTCGTGCCGTGCTTTTACTTTGCTCTCTGTGCTGGTGTCAACGGGGTCTTCCCATGTGTTGTGTCTTCTTCCGAGTGGTTTTTGTTTGTATACGTAAAAGCTATTGAGTTTCCTTTTAAGGTTAAGCTTCCCTTTTTATTGAAATGTATCTTACAGAAAAAGTGCCCACGTCGTGAGGGCACACTGGACGGATGAGAGCGACACCCTTGTGTACCCACTGCTTGGATTGAATGTGGAACATTTCCACCCCTCTCAGAGGTTCCTTGCCAGGGGTGACCATCACCCTGGTCTCTGCCACCGTTGATTCATTCATTTTACAGTTCTTGGGTTTTTATGTTGATTTTTCTAATCGCTTGCTATTTTGACTCTTAATGTTGTAGTCGTACATGGAGTCTTTTGGATCTTCCAGGTCCGTCATATTAAAAGAGTAAAGAGATTTAGCGTCACTGTTTCTTTCCCAGTTCTCATGTCTCCGATTGCCTTTTTCTTGTCTAATTGCACTGGCCAGCATTGCTAATACAGCGTTAAATGGCAGGGTATCACTGCACATTTTTTTCTTGCTCTTGCCCCTGGCGGCAAAACCCTTCGATGTCTGCCCTGTAAGTAAGACGCCGGCTTTCAGCCCGAGTATTTGAAACTCCTTTCATGGGGCGCCTGGGTGGCTCAGTCGGTTAAGCGTCCGACTTCAACTCAGGTCACGATCTCGCGGTCCGTGAGTTCAAGCCCCGTGTCGGGCTCTGGGCTGATGGCTCAGAGCCTGGAGCCTGCTTCGGATTCTGTGTCTCCCTCTCTCTCTCTGCCCCTCCCCCATTCATGCTCTGTCTCTCTCTGTCTCAGAAATAAACGTTAACAAAAAAAAAATTAAAACTCCTTTCATAGATGAAGAAACTGCGGGTCTGCAGGAGAGGCAGCCCCTAAGGGAGGGCGAGACAGAAACAAAAACCTGCGCCCTGTGTCACCCCCTGCTTCCTGCCCCTACAGGAGATCGTCAACTTCAACTGCCGGAAGCTGGTGGCCTCAATGCCACTGTTTGCCAACGCCGACCCCAACTTTGTCACGGCCATGCTGACCAAACTCAAATTCGAGGTCTTCCAGCCCGGTGACTACATCATCCGAGAAGGCACCATCGGCAAGAAGATGTACTTCATCCAGCACGGTGTGGTCAGCGTGCTCACCAAGGGCAACAAGGAGATGAAGCTCTCTGATGGCTCCTATTTTGGGGGTGAGCCGGGGACCAGGGGCTGGTGAGAGCTGGACCCCCTTCCTGGGTTAGGCGGGGAGCCTGGGCAGGCGGGGAGCCTGCAGGGGTGATGCCGTGGGCGTCAGGAAGGACCTGCGGAAGGGCCCTACTAGCAGAGGGGAGGAGGCGGGACTGAGCCCAGCGGCTGTGCGACCCCCGTGGGGCGGGGCTGGATGGGGGCCGGCGGGTGTGGCCCGGAAGCCGAGGTCGTCTCCCTCTGCCCCGCGCGCGCGCGCAGAGATCTGCCTGCTGACGCGGGGCCGGCGCACGGCCAGCGTGCGCGCCGACACCTACTGCCGCCTCTACTCGCTGAGCGTGGACCACTTCAACGAGGTGCTGGAGGAGTACCCCATGATGCGGCGGGCCTTCGAGACTGTCGCCATCGACCGCCTGGACCGCATCGGTGAGGGGGCTGCTCGGGCGGGGTGGCGGGGCATCCGGCGAGATAAGGTGGTGTGTCCCAGCTGACCGCAAGTCCCCTTGTAGTCCCCAGACCAGACTCTCTGACCTGCTTTGTCCCTTGGCCAAACATAGTCCTGGTTCCCCAGGAAAGAGCAAGTGCAGAGTGTTTCCAGTTGTGCACAACTTCTGCTCACTTAGCAGAGATTTGTGTGGCACCTGCAGCGTGCCAGGAGGTGTGGACGCTGGACCGAGAGGCTGGCTCGGAGGCCACCCTCGGGCTTACGTCACAGAGGAGGGGGTGGGGGTGGCAGGGCTTCTGCGCGATGCTGAGTAGAGGCCAGGCTGAGTAGCTGTTGCCAGCTAGAAAGGGACAAAGTACATTCTAGGAGTGAACGCAGCATGTGCAAAGAAAGGCCTGGGGGGGTGGGGGGCGAGGAGGCCTGGAGCCCAGGGAGCTGGAGAAGCTGGGAGGTCGGGGAGGTAGGCAGGGACCAGGTACACGGGACCTACTGGGCTGCGGATGGGAGTTTGGACTGGGAGCAGTAGGGAGCCATGGATGATTCCGGGCAGGGGAGGGTAGCATACTGGAGAGAGATGGCGGCCTGGCCTCGGGTGTAGGGAGAGTCAGAGGGTAACCTCGGCAACGGTCGGGAGGTGGGGCCCTCAGCACTTGCTGCTGACTAGACACGCGAGTCAGAGAGGTCGTGGCCCCTGGTGCTATTTTTGGAAGTGAAGACAAGTGGGAAAGGACTGGGTGGAATGCAGCGGTGTTAGAGGAAAGACTTCCCAGCATACAGAAAGCATTCAATTCATGTTTGCATACAACAGGCACTCAACAGTGTGCTCTATACACAGGTGCTCAGCAGATCCGTGAGTGGCAGGTGCTTAGAAGTGTTTGCGATACACAGTAGGCTCTCGACATACGCTTGCTCCACACGGTGCGCACTTAGCACCCGGGCTGCGTACAGGCGAGTGTTCTAGGTGTGTTGCTGTATACTGCAGGTACTCAATACACGGATCACTGTACGTAGGAGGTACATTGCATGCTCGCTACGGTGTCTCATACCTGCTTTGTGTACACAGCAGGCACTTTAAGTGCTTGCTGTACACTGTGGGTGTGCAATACGTGTCTCCTGTATGCAAAAAGTGCCCCGGGCATGCTGGAGGTATACAGTAGGTGTCTCATGCCTGCTTTGCCTATGCAGTAGGTGCTCTAATGTGCTTGCTACGCACAAGTATTTGATTAATACTGTATACAGAAGGTACTCCATACCTGCCTGTTACATACAGCAGCAGGTCATGCGTGCTTATTGTACACAGTAGGTGCTCAGTTTTGCCGGCTACACTACACACAGAAGACACTTGGTATCTATTTGTTGTAGGCAGGAGGGGCTCCGTGCACGCTTGCTGTGTGGAGTGCTTACTTGTACGCCACGGTGTCTTGACGAGTGTGCCAGCTGTATGTCGTAGGTGTCCGACACCTGCCCGCTGTTCTACGCTGCACGCTCTCCGTGCGCTTGCTCTGTACAGCAGGTGCTCCATACATGCCTGTCGTGCACAGCGGGCGCTCAGATTCTGGCCTAAGATGTGCAAAAGGTGCTCGGTGCGTGTCAGCTACAGCAGGTAGGTAGGTACGAGCGGGGGCGTGGTGCACACTGGCTGTGCCGAGTAGGCGCTGACAGCCTGACGCAGTGCGCGCAGCGGTGTGCGCCCTAGATGGACAGAACAGGTGCCCAGTACCCGCGGACCCACTGCGGGAGGCGCGCCGCGGATGCACACGCCCCAGGGCTGCAGCCCCCTGACGCCCCTGCCCCGCCCCCAGGCAAGAAGAACTCCA